ATCTGGCGGGCCAGCAGTAGGAGCACCCCCACTTGGAGATGAAGCCTCCTCTCTAGGGGCTGGGCAACCAGCTGCGTCCAGCAATCTCCAGCCACAGGTGAGCATGGGCCCTTCGAGGCTTTGGCACAGTGGTGGGGGCTGTGGCTTTTACTCTGATTTGGTAAGGGTGACGTGTAGGCAAGCCTCAAGCCTGGCTGGAGGGTCTCCTCAACAGCTCTGTCACTTAAGTGCCCTGAGTGTGAGGCATTTGTCTGTAAAGCTATAAGGTAGTGCTGTCCAAACCACGGAATATAGCCCACCTGGAACCAACTTAATTGGCCCTAACTAGCATTTGGTTTTAATGAAATAAAATAGAACAGAAAAATGTCGAAGCTTCCCTTTCATAGTAAGTATTGCAAGTATTGCTTGTGTGAGTGTCCAAGTGACGTATGTGTGCCCTGCAGTCCAACAGGTTTGAGAGACACTGACTTAGAGGGTTCTCCTCTGTCCCCTCCCTGACATGCACACATCCTAAAGGGGAGGTGGCCTTGGGATGTGCTGGAGAGGCTCTTACTTGGCCTCTCCTGCCAGCTGTCTCCTGCAGGCATTCTCTACTGGAGTGATGAAGGCGTGGTGCCCCCTTGCACTCCTCTCCCCAGCATTTTTCTCCATCTGTCCCCTTTGGAAAAGGAGGCTATCCTGGGTCTGTCTGTCCATTCTGTTGTCTGTCTCCCATTGGATTTTCCTCTGGTTAATTCGCTTCCTCTCTCTCCTGCTCTGCTTTGTGCTTCTCTGAACCGCCGCCTCTCTGTCTCATCACGTGTGTTCCACCTGCCCTTTAAGGAAGGCAGGGCAGCCACTGGCTCCATTTTAGAAACAGGGGAAATGCTGCATGCAGAGTAACCCAGTAAATTCCTGGTCAGGCTGGGGTGAGGACCACACTGCCTGGTCACACATCTTCCTTCCCCCTCTCCCCGCTAGCCCCTCTGCTCTCTGGCCCTGCTCTTGATAGGCCAGTGCTTCTCAAGCTCCTTTCTTTCTTTCAGCCAAAACCCAGCAGTGGAGGCCGGCGACGAGGGGGCCAGCGCCACAAGGTGAAGTCCCAGGGGGCCTGTGTGACTCCTGCCAGCGGCTGCTGAACCTTCCCCTGGCCCACCCCTATCACCCAGGGGGTCCTCACATTCTGGCCACCGCTCCACCAGATGGGCAGAGCAGCTATGACCGCCACCCAGCCCTCCTGCTCGGGCCACAGCCAGAGTCTCTGCATTGCCCCACCCCCATTTTCAGGGGGTTTGTAATTTATAAGCTGAGGAAGGCAGCCAGACTTCTGGAGGACTGACCATCTCCCACTCTCCTCCCCACTCTTCTCGCACATTTTTTTGTACATCTGGGCCCTTAGTTTTTATTCTGTTTATTATATGTCTCTGTCTCTCTCTGTTCTCTGTGTGTGTGTGTGTGTGTGTGTGTGTGTGTGTGTGTGTGTGTGTGGTGGAGTGCCACCCCCAGGGTCCTTTCAGCCTCTCCTTTCTTCTCCATGGCTGCCCACCTGTGTGTCCGTCTCTCAGAATCCTCAGGGCCGTCAGGGGATGTTGGGAGCAGAAGGAGCTGCCTTCCCTATATTGCTGCTGCTCTGGGCACTCAGAGGCCCCTTCGTGGAGCAGACTGGGTTGGGGGCTTCTGGGATTTGGTGTCTGCTGCTGCCGGAGCAGGAACCCCCAGTCTAGGACTTGGGCATTTTAACAGAAGGTAGTGGCTTCCCCTTTTCTCTCTCTCCTTTTTCCCTTTAAACCCCCAAACGGGTCATGCCAAAAGTTCTCTGGTTGTAACCTGTAGACATGAGGGGAGTGGCGATGAGATTGTAGGACTCTTCCCCACCCTAGACTCTGACCCTGACCCTTGCCACCGATGAAAAGACAGCTGGTGGGTTTCCCCTTGGAGACAATCCTGCAATTGCCTGGGCTGGCCCTGGTTGCCCTCAGCTTTTCCTGATCTTCGGGGCCTGGAGCCTCCCCTCACCCCGCTTCCTGTTGGGCCTCAGGCACTGGTTATCAGACGGCAGGGCCTGGGTCTGCTCAGGATCCTGTTTTCCAGCGCCTCCTGTTGGAGGGGTGGAGAGATGTTCCCCTGAGCTAGGCTGAGACTAGAACCCCTTCTTCCCTGCCATGTCACCCCTATGGCTGCTACAGGAGCACAGTAGTGAAGGCCTGAGCTCCACGTTTGAAAGTCCCAACTGGAGTGTGGGGAGGGCAGGTAGCCAGGCTTAGCAGAGCATTTAGCCTTCTGGAAGAACACCTGCCTGGTGTGGGGTTGTGCAGGCCAGAGATGGTGGCATGGGCCTGAACCCACCTGGACTGATTTCTGCACTGTAGCCACAGGTGTAGGGTAGGCTGGTGGGTGGGGGTGGTTCCTTCTCTAGCTGGGGCAGACACCCAGCTGGCTGGGTCCTTCCTCAGCCTTGCCTCCTCCTGTCCCCAACCCTTTCCTTTTCTCCTGCTTGCGGACTGCTGGTCCCCTCCCCTCCCCTCCTTCCAGCCGTTTCTAGTTACCACCTACCCCTGGCCATGGACTGATCAGACCAGCATTCAAAATAAAAGCTTGTTCCAAGTTGACATTGTGGTGTTCCCTGCCCAGCCCTCCAGGTGGAGGTGCTGCCATGGGAACACAGTTGATCTGCCTGCCCTGGGGCCCCTGGCAACAGCTGGGAGCAGGGCAGTGCTGTGAGGCCAGCTTCCCTGGTCAGGCAGGTATGGCTTCTGTGTTCAGGCTCCCTCACCAGCTGGTGACACGGGACAAATTTACCAGCCTTCTCTGAAGCTGTTTCCTCATCTGAGGCAAAGCAGTACATCAAGGTTGTGTGAGACCCTGGGGTATCCTGCACTCAGGAAGGGCTCCCTTAGTGAGCAGTCTGCATGCTGTTAGCCACCCTGCCACCTCTGTGCCCTGGGCAGGCTGGAAGGGAGGGCTGCAGCTAGGACTGTCAGGGGTCTCGTGCTCTCGTGTTGACATTCCCTGCGGCCGTCTGAGTCGTTTGTTGTTTTTCTGGTTAAGGGAACTGAAGCTCAGAAGTGTCACCAGCAGCTGTTCATTCCCATGCCAGCCTTGCCCCCTGGCTTTTCCCAGGCAGCTGCTCCTGTGTGTCTGCTGGCCCGGCCCGGTCTTGTCTCTTGGCTGCTTCCCTCCTGTTCTCTGTCCCGACTCTGCTTACAGGGGCCACTGCCTGCTGGTGCCTCCATAACAAGCCTCTGGCATTGAGCCCCCTGGCATGGCAGGGGCCTTTGGGGTCTGGGTTTCCACAGGACTTAGCCATGGCAGAACCTCATTTTATTTGAACTCTTTGCCCCTACAAACAGCAGTAGTTGCCAGAACCATTCTTGGCATTCAGGAGCTCTGGTGACCACCTTGGCCTCTGGCCACAGACACTCAGGAGGGTGGGGTTGGATCTGGGTAGTTGCCAGGCCCACACCTGCCAGTAGGAGGCTGACTGGAACCATGCTTTACTGTGTTTAACGGGGATAACGGGGGTCCCTACAGCCCTTCCAGCTAAACATTTGGAACAAAACACCAGCCCTTTTGTAGTGAATGCAGAATAAAATTGTTAATCCAATCACCTGGAATGGCAAGGCCTGACCCTTGTGTGTGTGCAACAGGCATTTGTGGCGTCTTTCCCAGGAGTAAGGCCTGTGATGGTGGGATGGGGATGGCCAGATCCCTAACTCCACAGTCAGGACTGTTGCGGCTCATCAGACTTCCTGAAGGTCAGATGAGTATGCCACACACAGGGCAGTGCGAGTTGGGTTGGGGGAAGTGCCATGGAGCAGGTAGTGTGGGGGCTGTGATGTGCGGGCCCAGTAGGATTTAAGTGCATACAGACAGGCAGAGGGCACGTGCCCAGCCCAGACTCTGGGCTCCAGGGACTTGTTTATCGGTGCTGCTCAGGGATGTCTCCTTTGCTGAGATGGCACCAGAGGCGGAGCAGGTGTTCGTGAAGGGGATCGAGCACAGGACCAGCTCTTTCCCGAGGCTGAGGAGCTGGTCCAAGGCTTTTGGGGCTGGATTTCTGCCCCATCCAGTCCCTGTCTTTTTGTGGCTGTCTCCACAGCCCTTCCTATTGACTTTTTTTTTTTTTTTTTTTTTTTTTTGGAGACGGAGTTTCGCTCGTTACCCAGGCTGGAGAGCAATGACACGATCTCAGCTCACCGCAACCTCCGCCTCCTGGGTTCAGGCAATTCTCCTGCTTCAGCCTCCTGAGTAGCTGGGATTACAGGCACGTGCCACCATGCCCAGCTAATTTTTTTTTGTATTTTTAGTAGCGATGGGGTTTCACCATGTTGACCAGGATGGTCTCGATCTCTTGACCTCGTGATCCACCCGCCTCGGCCTCCCAAAGTGCTGGGATTACAGGCTTGAGCCACTGCACCTGGCCCTATTGACTGGGTTTCTACCTTTATTTGCTCAGTCATGATGAGGACCAGCCCTGGGCCAGGTGCCACAAATCAGTATGAGAGACTCCAGTCAGGCTAGAGAACCACCCTGAATGATGTCTGGGGAGGTTCTTCGGGAAAGGTCAGGGCCTGTTTTTCCCCCTGAGCTGGCAGCTGCTGGCTGTTCAAGGGCCCTACCTCCTTGTCCCTTCCAGCCACAGGTCCAAGGGGCAAGTAGTGAATTCCCATGGAGGAGAATCACTGCACAAGTGGACATGGCCAGTAGGTAAGTGTAACTTTCTCTGCTTCTGCTCAGTGGCACTGAGAGATAGGAAAGCACCCCCCACCCCCACCCCCAGCTGCCATCCTTGGTGATGGGGTTATCAGTGACAGCTAATAAAGCCACCTCACTTCTTCCTCGTGCCAGCCCTGGACCCACAAACAGTGGAGGAGACCTGCCTCTGGTCCCATCCACCACCACAACTGGGCTTTAGGTGAAAGGTGTGGGTGTCTGAACTTTAGGAGTAAGTCTTTGGGGACATTCATTTGGCCAAGAATTCATTCCCGCAACTGCCCTGGGTGAGGTGCAAAGGCCACATCCCACAGCTCTTGGGCATCATTTATTTTTTGCATAGACATAAATTAGGATCTGGAGATAAAAAACCTAAGAACCAATAGTGCAGCATTTGTGACAGGAGAGCACAAAACAAAGCCTGGCTGCCTGGGGATGGAGCAGGGGTGGCCTGACCACCACTGTCCAGCCTTGTGCTCCAGAGCAGATCGAGGCTCAGCACTGCAGTGAAGGGGCCTGCCTGCCCTCTTGCCCCTTCCCCACAGCCAGACCACCAAACACAGCCAGAACTAGTGCCCCAAGCCCCTCCATTGCCAGGAACAAGGAACTGAGTATCACCCAGTGCCCCACAGAACGGGGGTAGGAACCAAGCCCTTAGCTTTTTAGTTAGAAAAACAGACCTTGAAAAATATATACATAATACAGTGGGGCCTGCTGGCTTTAAAAGTCCCCTTTGCCCCCTTTCCTACCCAGGGTAACTTCCGCTAGCCTCTGCCCCCGGCCCCCACCAACTGCCCCATAGAGAACAAACCAGAAAGGAGACTACCTGAACAAGGGCTGCGAAAGCCCAAGGTGGCCAGCCCGAGTAGAGCATCTCTACATCAGGGCCCGGTTAAATGAGGGGGCCAGTGCAGACAGACCTCCCACCCTGATAACCTGAATGTCCCCACAGAGCCCAGGGAGTTCCATGCTCCCCACTATTCTTGCTAACCCCAGATGCTAATGGCCTTAAAGACAGGTCTGCGTCTCTGCACCCTAGGAGAATGTGGAAAGCAAGCTCAGGGGCACTAGCAGGCCCCAGCAGGAATGCGGAGCAGGGTGGGCCCCAACCCAGCATCAGGAGAGAAAAGCAACTACTGTCCCCAGCAAAGGGGAAGCCAACAGGGTTGGCCCTGGGCCCCTTAGAAGCTCACAGGAGCTAGTCCCCATTAGGGCACAAGAAGCCCCATGGCCCACTGCTACTGTCCCCGGGGCAAATACATGCTTCTGTAGAAGTCCCTCAGGAACCCTGTGGTTCAGGCTTTAGGTGGAGGGCACCCCTACATCAGGTGCTTCTTGCCTGGGGAGAGTCCCATCCTGCCCTGGAGCTGAATACTCTCCTCCCAGAAGGCCTTGCTTCCCTGCACAGGGCAGCTCACCTAGCCCAGGCCCTAGCTTGCCCCTCTGACAGCCCTGACACCTGCTTCATCCATGGGCCTCCCTGTAGCAGCTCCTGGGCACCAGCCCCTGACCCCAGGTAACGGCAGCCAGGTCTCACCTCTCCCAACTTCCCAGTACCCCATGATATGCTACATATATACACATTCCCAGGAGGGGAAGCAGACACCACTGGCATGGAGGGAAGGAAGAAGGGAGCTGCCGGAGGCTGCTGGCTGCCTCGAGCCACCTGCTGCTCAGGAGACCCTGCTTATCCTGCTCATCTCCGTGGGGCCACAGGCTCCTCTCATGCTCCTGGAAGTCACAGCGCCGAGCAAGCGTGTGGGGAAAGCGGTGAGGTGCTGTTCACCTACTCCCAGATGGCTGGCAGCAGGCACCAGAAAGCGGGGCTAGTGGGCGGGCTCCCCATGCACTCTGAAGCGGTAGATGCAGGTATATTCTGGGTGGCCCCAGTTAGTCAGGATCCGCAACTCCACCACCTGGTACGTGGCCATCATAGGGGCCTGGGTAGAGAAAAAAGGGATTAAGAGCATCAGAGACCTGTGAGGCCTCACTGACAGAGAAGGCGGGAATCTGGGGCGACAGCCACACCTAGGGTCATAGGGCTCCCCTGCTCCTCCCTTCTCTGGAGAGAGCCGTGCTTCAAAAGCTCCTGTGTAATCCCTGAGCAGTGTTTCCAGCCAGTGGGCTAAGGGGCCACCATGATTCATCTGAAACCGGAATGAATTCTCCACAATCACTTTTTTATTGTGATCAACAGATAGAACCACCTTCATGGAGGGTTTCTTAGGTGCTGATGTGTGGCACACTTGATTCTTTTTCTCAAGTGCCCATCAGGCCTCTGTCTAGCCAGTGTGGAAACAGCGTTTGCAGCATATCTTACCTGAGCAGATGCCAAAGGCCTAGCACACTCCTGACTTGTCCCCTCTCTGGCACATCCTTCCGTCCTCTACCATTTTTTTTGTTTGTTTTTGAGACGGTCTTGCTCTGTTGCCCATGCTGTAGTACAGTGGTGCGATCACAGTTCACTGTCTCAAATTTCTGGCCTCAATGCATCCTTCCACCTTCTCCTCCCCAGTAGCTGGGACTACAGGTGCACGCCACCACACCTGGCTAGATTTTTAAACAATTTTTATAGAGACAGGATCTCACTGTTTACCAGGCTGATCTTGAACTCCTGGGCTCAAGTGATCCCCTCGCCTTGGCCTCACAAAGTACGGGGATTACAGGCATGAGCCACCTCGTCTGGTCTCTATACTTTCCTAAAGAGAGATCCCAGCCTTTCTCGCAGCCTAGTTACCACCTCAGAGCCGGTGACAACTCAGTTCTTTCTGGCTCTCCTGACAGCTCCACTGGACTGTCCCACAGGTGCCTCAGACTCAGCCAGACCTGCTCCCTGCTCTGCATCAGCCCCCTTCCTAGCGGCCTCCCCATCCCCTTCCAGTCCAGCCTGACCTTCAGGACCCTCCCTGCTATGTCTCTGTCCTCACTCCCAACACCCCCTCTCCCACCTATCCTGTTCTGGCTGCTTCCCTGCAACCGGGCCCAGGCCCACCACCTTCAAGTCACATAGTGATGTTAGTGAAATGGACATGGCTTTGTTGCCTGAAGCACAACACTGCCTCCCTAGACCCCTGAGGGATGAATTCCTGCCTCTCTGCAGCCTCTCTTCCTGCCATTGCCCCTTGTCTACCTCCCACTATCCCTGCAATCCAATTTCTCACTCCAGAACTCCCCTGGTGTGGGGCTCAGGCCAATGGTTTATTCATATGCAGGCTTCTGGGTCCCGTCGGCCCTAAGGAACCAGACTTTCCTGGGGTGGAGACTGGGAATATGCATTTCTAACTGACCTAGGAGGTGGGATGCCCACTGAGGTTTAAGCCACATGCACTGCCTGAGGCCCCAGCTGGCCATGGTAGAATGCCCGTGCCCTGGCACGTGCTGGCAGCAGCTCCTTGAATGCCTCTCCTGGCCTTCCTTTCCTGGCCACCCAACCCCTATTGTGTAAAGCCCGCCTCCTGGTGCCCTTTTCTAGGAAGCTTTCCTTATGCTGCCCTTCTGGAAGGCACCTTCCCCTATGCTGACGTCTGCAGAACATGTCTTACACCCCATTTGGATGTCACGTCTTGAGCTGTGGGAAAGGAGGGCAAGGTGTCCCACTGTGAGCCCCATGCCTGGCAGGGGAAGTGCCCAGGGAATGCCTGCTACCCAGATGGGGGTCTGTGCACCACTCCTGCTAGCACAGGAGAATTCTGTACCTGAAAGTGAAACGTCTGAATGGGCTCGCCATCCTGATCGTAAGTGAACTTGCCAAGAAGTGTCCCCTCCTGCTGTAGGTCTTCATCAAATCCCTGCAAAGAGAGTGGAGGGATGTGGGGAGGGGCTGGAGCAGGGAGAACACCCTCTTCCCTGCCCCAGTCCCTGCTACTCGCACCTAGCAGGTGAGGCACCAGCATGGCCTATGACAAGCCACTTAACTCCCTTGTGCCGCAGTTTCTGCCTCCAAAGCCTGAGGGAATGGGGACTGAAGTGCTGTCTCCCACGCTGGCTCCATCTCTTCCAAATCCACTCCCTTCCCTCCCAGTCCAAGGGTGACCCTGACTTGATCCTCAGTAGAGAGGCCCACAGGATCCCCCTGCAGCCCCTCTGGCCCTGCCACGGGACAAATACTCACAAAAACGGCAAAGTCCTTGGGGGCACTGGAGATGGTGCTGTTGGGTGACAAGGCCTTGGGCACATGCTCTAAGGTCACAGCCGTGGGGCGGATGCGGGCAGACAGGCGGACCACAGCAAAGCCCTGTGGCCCCTGGAAGGCCCAGCAGTTGCCTGGGTACACATCTGGCTGGAGGGGCAGAAAGTCATGTCAGGACAGGGCCCCAAGTCCAGCTCTTGCTGACCCAGAATGGGACCGTCCCCCAGTGTGCTCAGAGTCCTTGCTGCTGTGCTTGCCAGGTGCCCACCTGGAGAATGACGCGGGGTGACTGGGAGTGGTACCACAGGGGGATGCCGAAGAGGCTGAGGAGGGCCGTCTTGGTCTCGTAGGTCTCAGAACATCGGGTGCTGATAACGCTGGCCCCTGAGACAGGAGAGGAAGGCAGGGTGGGCTCTTGCACAGGAGGATGACCTAGCTCAGGCCACTGCCTGTCTCCTCGCAGAGGACAGATGGCAGATGCCCCAGGCCTAGTCTTTAACCCTAACCCAGACACCCAGAGCAGCTGTAAATGTCAGCCTCTCGCTGGCCCAGGATGGCGCTCAGTACATCCTGACTTCCCTGAATTGCCTCTTGCCTTTGTGGTGGTTTCTAGATTGGGTGATTTCTGCTGATCCCGCCGAGCCTTGCTTGCTCTGCCCCACCACCAACCTGGTAGATGCCAAGGGACTGGCCATTGCGGGGTCCAGGACAAGGCAAAGCGAGGCAAGCAGAGCACACACCTCCTGACTCCAGGGCGTAGTCCGCCAGCCCGATGCGGTCCTCGCTGTAGCGCTGCAGGGCCTGCTTCACGATGCGGTGCACCTGCTGCAATGTGGGCACCAGGAGATGGTCGCAGCAGGGGGCAGACATGTCCCTGTCACCTCGCAGCTGTGGGCCCAGGACCCATGAGCTGACCCCTCCTAGGTTTGCACTGTGCTGGTGCCCAGGCAGATGTGGGTGCACTGCTACCCACCCATGCTGGCCCCACAGCATGCAGAACCTCCTGCTTAGCACTTCGGTTCTGAACCTGCCAGGGAGGTGGCAGTGTGGGACTGTCCAGGGCTCCCGGGGAAGAGAGCTGTGGATGGGTGTGTGGAGGGGGGGCACATGGTCCTCACCTCCTCTGTCACTCCAATCACGCCTTCTTTCTGCAGCGTCAGGCCCAGGGAGGCTGCAGCTTCTCTGGCCGACTTGCCCTGCATCTCTGCTATGTGGGTGAGGATCTTGCTCTCCAGGTCTCTAAGCTGAGCTTGCATTTCCTCTCTCTGAAGGAGCCCCGCGCGGCCCCCGCCGCCTCGGGCAAGGAACTCACTGATCCAGGCTGGGAACTGAGATTCCACCTAGGAACCAAATGGTTGTCACCCTGAGGGGCTTGTAGGGACAGCAGGAGCTGCTATAACAGAGCCAGGGCTAAGGCCAGTGCTTAGCTGGGTAGCAGGGATAGGGTAGGAGGGAAGTCACTGGAGAAGAGAGTTATGAATGCTCTCCATGGGCCCCGACAGAAAAACAGGAAGAATGCCTGTCAATGAAAGCCCACGCGTGCCAAGCCAGCGTCACAGTCTCTTGGGCATCACAGAGGCTGCAGGGGCAAGGGGTGCCTGCTCTGCCGGCCCTAGGACACATGTCTCAGAGGAGGAGGAGAGGGACCAGCGGGGCCCTGGTGGTTCCCACTCACGTCATCTCGCGCGGCCTGGATCTGCTGGGGCAGCAGGCCCACTTCATCAGCCACTGAGCTCTGCTTCTGCACCAGAGCCGCCAGCTCCTGCTGCAGGCTGGCCAGCTGGTCCTCCAGCCGCCTCAGCTCCTTCACAGAGCTCTCCCGGAAGGCATCCTGGGTCATGCTGGTCCCAGAGAGAGAAGAGTAAGCTTCAGATCTCTTTGGTGGGAGGTAAGGCCACACTGAAGAAGAAAGAGGGCCCCCTAGTGGGCTCCTGTCATGAGGGCGGGTACCCACCACTCATCGCAACCCCGAGAAGGGGCAAGGCCTCTCCTGGAGGTTCTGGCTGCAGAACCCAGTGCAGGTGCTGAGGAACAGGCCTGCCTGTCCCATGGAGCTAATTCTGGGCCTCCTCCCTTTCTAAGCCCAGAGTCCAGAATTGACTCTGCTCAGACTCTCATACCCTCCACAAGCAGGGACATATAGGGCATGAGAAGGTGGCTACATAAGTCTGTAAGAAAGAATGATGTGTCTATAAATGAATCCTAGTCCCATCACAGGGCCTGCCCCCTTCCCTCAGGACCCCCCTGCTAACCTACATAGCACCTCAAAGACAGGCCCTAGGCAGGGGTCCTGAGTCAGTTCCAGCCACCCCTGCCACCAGCTTGGCAAGACAATCAGAACTCTGCTCTGGGGCTCTACTCCCCAGTCCTGCCTTGCGGGGTGGGGTGGGAGTGGGGAGCAGCAGGCTGGGGCCCAGTACCTTTGCCACTCTGACTTCAGCTGCTGGATGTGAGCCTCGGACTCCTGTGTAGGAAGAAGGGACAAATACAAGAAATACTTAGAAATTAGTGTTCCAGAACAGAATCTGCTGTCTGTCAAGTCTTTGCTTAACCACACCCCTGCCCAAGGTCTCGACCCCTGCAGCAAAAATCAAACTGACCTCCTGGTCAAAGCCCTCATGAGGCTGGTCCCTGCCTGACACACTGAGGTATCTGTTCACCTATGTTCAGGACGTGCACACCAGCATGACAGGCCTCTGCGCCCCAGCCAACCCCAGGGAGCCCTGGCACAGCTCTCCAACTAAGGGGTTGGGGGTCAAACAGAAGTCAGGGGCAGGCACACCCCTCCCCATGCAACACCCATGCGGTCCCTTTGGAAAGGCCGAGGGTTGGATGGGACCAGGACCCCGTCACAGCCCTGAGTGCCCAGGCCTGCTGACCTGGGAGGCCCGGACGATCTTCTTGAAGAGGTCTTCTGAGTCTTGCTGATGTTCTGCCCTCAGGGCAGCCAGTTCTTCCTGTCAGACAAGAGTAGGAGGACAGGTTTGACACAGTCATGCTTACAGGGACCCTTATGACTAGGAAGTGGTGAAAGGGGAATTCAGACAAGGTCTGTTTGCTTCTAAAGCCTTGGCTCTCAGCCCTCAGGCTATGTTGCTTCTCTGAATCATGCAAGATTCCTGCTTCATCTACACTCACACCTGTGTGGTGTAGGCACCATGCCAGGGCTCTCTATTCACACAGCTCACCACGTGAGTGGGGGAGACATGATGGTCTCCATCAGAGAGGAGGAAACTGAGGCTTAGAGAAGGGGAGTAGGCCTTGCGTGATGGCTCATGCCTGTAATCCCAGCACTTTGGGAGGCTGTGGCAGGCAGATCACTTGAGGTCATGAGTTTAAGACTAGCCTGGCCAATGTGGTGAAACCCTGTCTCTACTAAAAATACAAAAAAAATTAGCTGGATTTGGTGGTGCGTGCCTGTAATCCAGCTACTCAGGAGGCTGAGGCAGGAGAATCACTTGAACCTGGGAGGCACAGGTTGCAGTGAGCCGAGATCACGCCACTGCACTCCAGCCTGAGTGACAGAGTGAGACCCTGTCTCAAAAAAAAAAAAAAAAAAAAAAAAAAAAAAAAAAAAAAAAGGTGTAACTGCTAAATGGCAGAGCTGTCTGATCCCAAATAATACTTGTCTCTCCTGCTGGGCACCTCCACGCGTTCCCATGGGTGTCACCCAGCTCCCACCCTGAGGTACTCGGCCTCCTACCTGGATGCGAGCAGCAGTTTCCCTGCGGAAATCCTCCCTCAGGGCAGTCTCACGGCGGCTCACTAGCCCCTCCAGCAGCGCCAGGGTGTCCTCATGGCTCAGGCCACCACTGCCTCCCTGGGCAGGGGTCCCTTGCCGCAGCTCCAGCCTCTCCAGCCGCATAGCCTCCTTCTGCCAGTTGGAGGAAAATTCAGCAGCAAGAGCTTCCAGACGCCGCTCCAGAGAGTGCACCCGGGACAGAACGTGCTGCTCAGCCTGGCGGGACAGAGAGAGCGCCAAAGGGTGAGGAACCCTTGGATGACAGTGTTTTTCAAAGCCCACCCTGACACAGCCAACACAGAAAGAACAGGAAAAGATCCCAGAGACACTCCCAACATCAGTCCATGCAGGGCTGGCTGCAGCTCGTGGGCAGGGGCTGCCAACCTCTGAGCTGGGTGTGCTGGGAGCCGGCCACAGAGGAGGGTCCCTGAGGACACAGTACGGAAGTCTGATCCCAAAGGAGGAAGGAAGGTGGGCCAGGGAGAGCCTCTGAGTGCAGCGATAGTCCAAGAGGAGGAGTGGAAGCTGCAGGGGGCCGGGGGACCTGCTGGCCTGAAGCTCACCCCTTCCCTGCCTCCTACAGGGGCAGGGGAGCCAGGACTGGGCGTTCCACCTGTGGACTCTCAATGGCTTTCACTCCTTCCCTAGGTAACTATGGCTAAGAGACAGGATAATTGCAAAATGTGCTCTTTTTCCTCTTTAGCTGGATGTCCCACAGAGAAAATGGAATAAATGTCATTTGGACTGAGGGTGGCATTTGATAGCGTGTCATGAATTTGAGAATGCTGTTGGCTTACCAACAAAATCATCGCCAAGGGAAGTGATAAAAACTCAAGGGCAAGGAGCTACTGAGCAGCAGAGAAGTTCTGAGTTTTAGAAATTCTGGTTTTTAAATAGGCGATACATTTGCATGACTCAAAGAGCACACAAACAGCCCGGGCGTGGTGGCTCAGGCCTGTAATCCCAGCACTACGGGAGGCCAAGGCAGATGGATAACCCGAGGTCAAGAGTTCAAGACTAGCTTGGCCAATGTCGTGAAACCCCTGTCTCTATTAGAATTACAAAAATTAGCTGGGCATGGTGGCAGGTACTTGTAAACCCAGATACTTAGGAGGCTGAGGCAGGAGAATCTCTTGAACCCCGGAGGCGGAGGTTGCAGTGAACTGAGATTGCACCACTGCACTCCAGCCTGGGGGATGGAGCAAGACTACCTTAAAAGTCGGGTGCGGTGGCTCAAGCCTGTAATCCCAGCACTTTGGGAGGCCGAAGTGGGTGGATCACGAGGTCAAGAGATCGAGACCATCCTGGTCAACATGGTGAAACCCCGTCTCTACTAAAAATACTAAAAATTAGCTGGGCATGGTGGCGGGTGCCTGTAATCCCAGCTACTCAGGAGGCTGAGGCAGGAGAATTGCCTGAACCCAGGAGGCGGAGGTTGCGGTGAGCCGAGATCGCGCCATTGCACTCCAGCCTGGGCAACAAGAGCGAAACTCCGTCTCAAAAAAAAAAAAAAAAAAAAAAAAGGCCGGGCACGGTGGCTCAAGCTTGCAATCCCAGCACTTTGGGAGGCCGAGGCGGGTGGATCACGAGGTCGAGAGATCGAGACCATCCTGGTCAACATGGTGAAACCCCGTCTCTACTAAAAATACAAAAAATTAGCTGGGCATGGTGGCGCGTGCCTGTAATCCCAGCTACTCAGGAGGCTGAGGCAGGAGAATTGCCTGAACCCAGGAGGCGGAGGTTGCGGTGAGCCGAGATCATGCCATTGCACTCCAGCCTGGGAAACAAGAGTGAAACTCCGTCTCAAAAAAAAAAAAAAAAGTGATACTATGCCAAGCACAGTGTGACTCGTGCCTATAATCCCAGCATTTTGGAAGGCTGAGGCAAGAGGACTGCTTGACGCCAGGAGTTCAAGACCAGCCTGAGCAACATAGTGAGACCCTGTCTCTACAAAAATTTTTTTTAAAAATTAGACAGACATGGTGGTGCAACCCTGTAGTCCCAGCTACTTAGCAGGCTGAGGCAGGCAGAAGGATTGCTTGAGCCCAGAAGTTCAAGGTTACAAGGAGTTATGATTGCACCACTGCACCCTAGCCTGGGCAACAGAATGAGACCTTATCTCAAAAAAATTTTTAAATGAATAACAAAAACATGATACCAAATTAAATTCAATGAGGTACAACTGCAGGTCAAATAACTAATTAGGAAATGAAGAGTTTTATCAAAAATAGAGGCAGGGCCTCACCGTGTTGCCTAGGCTAGTCTCGAACTCCTGGAAGTAATCCTCCCACCTTATCCTCCCAAAGTGCTGAGATTACAGGGGTGAGCCACTAGGCGTGGCCAAGAGGTTTAAATTGTTGTCAGTATCAGGACCTGTGCTCACATTCACTTTCTGGTTATGCTGAATGCAGGTTCCTTGAGGGCACAGCCTGGGCCTGATCCATCTTTAGACTCTGGCAGATTATGAAAATGGCCACCGACCCTCATTCCTCCTGGCAGCCACACCTCTGCCATGCAACCTTGTGGGTTCTCTTGCTGAGAGGTGATGTCTACTTCTCTCTTGTTGAATCTGGACTAGCTCTGAAATTTTCTGTAGCCAACAGAATGTGGCCGGAGTGACGGTGTGCTGGTTCTGGACGGAGGCCTCAAGAGGTCTGGCTGTCTCAGTTCTCTCTTGGAGCCCTGCCTGGGTGCTGTGAGAAACAGCTGGGCTAGCCTGCTGGGTGAGCAGAGTGTACACGGAGTACAGCTGTCCCAGCCAAGGGCTTCAGCCAGCTGGCCACCAGCTGACCCGCAGCCAACTGCAGACAGACACACACAGGCAAGTATGAGCCCAGCCAAGATTGCTTCTCCTTTCTCAGACCAGAAAGACCACACAGACTCATGAACTCATCAAACACTTAAGGTTTTAAGTCACTACTCTTAGGGGTAGATTATCTGTGGTGAGAGGTAACTGGGATATTACCTTAGTCACAGAAGGTGCTCAGTAAATATTTGTGAAACTATATTGAAAAGGAATAAAGAAGATGAGACAAGTTGTTGGATTCCTTTTCTGTTTTCTGTGTCTCATAGGATGGCAATTAACCTCAGCTTTGTGTGAAAGGTATGAGGCAGGTTGAAGGCACCCACCACTTTCACTGTCACCTAATCATCGCTAAACTCTTGGGAGCTACCAGCCTCAGAGACTCACCTGGAAATGTGGTGAGGAGTCTCTGGATTCCCAGCCTTCATGCTCCCTCCTGCTGTCCTTCGCTGTCCACCAGGAAACCAGAGCGGGGTGGAATGTCTGCAGCCCATAAGGGTAGAAATACCAAGCGCCTGTGCACAGGGGAGAGGCTTTTACCCAGGCTGGGCCTCCAGCAAGAGGCGTGCAGCAGGGAGGGTGGCTGCCTGATACCTGCCAGTGCTCGAGGCCTATCTCACTTGTCCAGCTGTGCCCTTCCAGAGGCATCAGAGGGATGCAGGTGCTCCCATTCTGAGGTGGCAACTTCCACCTGACAACCTCAGAGTATATGCATTCTCACACCCCCTCGGAAATCCTTCGTTTTTCTATAGATGGCAAAACTTGGAGAAAACATTTTGAATGAGTTAGGGATGATCCAGGACATGGCCCAGAGGCCCTGATGGTGGTTCTCAGCCCTGGCTGGACATCAGAATCACCTGGGGAGCTTTCTGTACAACCAGGTCTGGGCCTGTTCTCTGGAGAGCAAGCTAATTGGCCTGGGGTGAGGCCCCTGTGTAGGTGGGTTTATAAAGCTCCCAGGTGACCGTCATGGGCTGCCACGGCTGAGAGTCACTAAAACAGAAAGCACCAACCCCTCTAAGAGAGGCTGCTTGTGGCCCAGACATGAGCACCAAGCTGTAGCCACACAGAGACATGTTCATCCTGCTTTCAGGCCATCAGTTTGAGATCCGTTTACTCTGGAGTTCTGGGGCAGGTGGTGGGGAGAGAGGGCTTTCTGGCCTTAAAAAGCTCCATTTGTGGCTGGGTGCAGTGGCTCATGCCTATAATCCCAGCACTTTGGGAGGTCGAGGCGGGTGGATCACCTGAGGTCAGGAGTTCGAGACCAGCCTGACCAACATGTAGAACCCCCATCTCTATTAAAAATACAAAAATTGGGTGTGCTGATACATGCCTGGAATCCCAGCTACTAGAGCGAAACTCCATCTCAAGAAACAAAACAAAAAAAACCCTCCATTAGCTACTCAAGTACCAGTGGTTGGCAGATGCAAAAGGCAGCTCATGCCCATGGGGCTTGAAGCCCACCCTGGACATGGCCCTCATGTATATGCTCCCTGAGCAGGTCACTCAGCCCTCTCCACTCACATCTCCATGTGATATGTTCACAGTACTGCCAACAGCAACCCCACGAGGCCACAGTGAAGCTCAAGTTGAACTGAGGTAATGTATGGGAAAGTGCTCTCTGGGTACACGGCTATGCAATTATAGAGAATCACTGACTGGACAAGGTGGCTCATGCCTGTAATCCCAGTACTTTGGGAGGCCGAGGCAGGTGGATCATGAGGTCAGGAGTTTGAGACCAGCCTGGCCAACAAGGTGAAACCCTAGCTCTAATAAAAATATAAAAATTAGCCAGGCATGGTGGCGTGTACCTGTAATCCTGGCTACTCGGGAGGCTGAGGCAGGAGAATTGCTTGAAGCGGGAGGCAGAGGTTGCAGTGAGTCAAGATCGTGCCACTGCCTCCAGCCTGGGTGACAGAACAGAACTCTGTCTCAAAAAAAAAAAAAAAAAAAAAAAAAAAGAAAAAGAAAAAGAAAAAGAATCGTTATGATTTTAAGGGTGGTGCTCAGTTTCCACTGGATATGAACCACCTGTTCTGTTCTTGTAACAGCAAACACACAAAGGAAGCTAACTTTTGGAAAAGTGTTCTACCCTGTTACTAATACAGGAAATACAAGTTGAATGATATTAAGCTTTATAAGACCAACTGTCAAAAACAAACAAACAAAAAAAAAAACAAAAAAACAAAGGCATGGTCTTTAATTAATTGGTATAGTCATTAGAATTGAACCAAGAGCCACATAGGCAATTCATATGGAACTAGTGAAGCTGTCAGGGAAAAGCTGAACACAAAATGTCTATATAAACAAGGAAGGGCCAGGCGCGGGGGCTCACCCTGTAATCCCAGCACTTTGGGAGGCCAAGACGGGTGGATCACTTGAGGTCAGGAGTTTGAGACCAGCCTGGCCAACATGGTAAAATCCTGTCTCTACTAAAAATACAAAAATTAGCTGGGCGTGATGGTGTGTGCCTGTAATCCCAGCTACTCGGGAGGCTGAGGCAGGAGAATCACCTGAGCTGAGAAGGTCAAGGCTGCAGTGAGTTGTGTTCGTGCCACTGCACTCCAGTCTGGGTGACAGAGCAAGACATTGTCTCAAAACAGACAAAAACCAAACCAAGGCCTGTGCTGGCGCCTGGCATGATTCAAGGCAGCTGGTAAGTGACTGGTGTAAAAAGAGGCACTTACACCAGCCTGACCAACATGGTGAAACCTCATCTCTATTAAAAATGCAAAAATTAGCTGGGCGTGGTGCCATGTGCCTGTAGTCCCAGCTACTTGGGAGGCTGAGGCAGGAGAATAGCTTGAACCCAGGAGGCAGAGGCTGCAGTGAGCCGAGAGTATGCCACTGCACTCCAGCCTGGCAACAGAGTGAGACTCCGTCTCAAAAAACAACAAAAAAGGCACTTACTTCCCTTTGCTGCTTCATTGTTTTTACTTTTAGACAGCTCAAGATTTACTTGATCTTGTAAAAATAATCCCCTTACAGCCCATGTCCCTGCTGGAGCACAGGGAGGATGACTGCTGATGATAACGGGAGGGCGTCCACTCTTCACCCAGTGCTATGGCACCAAGGTATGCCCCTGCCCAGAGCAGCACAAAGGATGCTCAAGAGAGGTGGGAAGGGCCATGCAGAGATGGTCTAGAGTCCAGGGCTCAGGCCCTGCCCAGGCATGGGCTCACCCCATCCCATCCTGCCCCTTCTCTGACTGCCAAGAGTCACCACCCCTCTAACGAACACATCTCTGTCCCTCCCTCCACTCTCCCCCCGCAGGCTCACCATACGTCAGGCACGTCAGCAAAAGCAGCAGCAGCATGAACCAGAGGAATGTCTTCAGGGACGAGAAGCGCCTGGACCACGAGGGAGGGCAGGTCAGGAGAGGCGGAGGCGTGAGGGGAGCTCCAGACCTCCTCGTTGCACCCAGGGAGTTCCCCGAGATGTTTTCCTGGGTGCTGAACTAGAGCTAGGGAGTACAGCCTTGAGTTTCTCACCATGCCAGGGCCAGACTGGGCACATTAGAGCCTTTCCGGCTGGGCAGGTCTTAGAGTGATATGACAATTTTGACTGAATTTTACTGATGTTATTAAAAATAGTGTGGTAGGCCAGGCGCAGTGGCTCATACCTGTAATCCCAGCACTTTGGGAGGCCGAGACTACAAAGTCAGGAGTTCAAGACCAGTCTGACCAACATGGTGAAACCCTATCTCTACTAAAAATTAAAAAAAAAAAAAAATTGGCCGGGCGTGGTGGCACACACCTGTAGTCCCAGCTACTCGGGAGGCTGAGGCAGGAGAATTGCTTGAAACCAGGAGGTGGAGGTTGCAGTAAGCCGAGATCATGCCACTGAACTCCAGTCCGGGTAACAAAGTAAGACTCTGTCTCAAAAATAAAATCAAAATAGTGTGGTCTTTGAAAACTAAGATTTTTATATAGACAGGTCCTCTAAGTAAACAAACATAGAAAAATAAAAAGAACTCCTTAAATAGTAACAAGGAACTTGTCATCCTTGCCCCTCTTCGGTGTGGCCAGCTGCCCCCTCCACCCAGACCCTGGATGATGGCTAGAGGGGTCCTGACTTCTGGGTTCAGTCTTCTTTCTTCTGCCTAAGAGGCAGGTTCTCAAATCCTGGTTCTGCTGGTGGAGGGACTTGAGGAGCGAACGCACAGCGTTCTCAGGCACAGCCTCTGTGACTCTGACCAGGAGTGGGGAACTCAGGGATTAGATTGTCCCAGGCGGGAGAAGGAAATGGACTTTCTGAGAAACCCCACTTCTTGCCTGCAGGAGGAAAGCCATCATGTGTCTGAGAATCAGGCACAGCTGGACTGGAGTGGCATGTAGCAGAATGTGTCCAGGAAGAAATAATCTGTGCTCTGGAATCCTGCCTCGAAGGGCTATTGGTTCAGGGAGAATGATTCGGAGTCCGTCCTCTGTCAGGCAGGGGTGGGCTCTGGGGAGGCTACTCCATGGTGGCTAATAAAAGCTTCAGGGAAACTGGGGAAAACCTCAGAGAATTGACCATTACAGGTTGACACAGTTTATCGGTCCCTCCGCCCCAGGGCTTTGCGATTTATTGGCAAGGCTAGAGTCTCACTCACCTGGTTAAAACAAAGACGTCAAGGAGGGAGGCAGCTGTGGTCAGACGGTACCAGGTGGTACCAGCCCACCAGTAGAGAAGTCTGAAGAGCCGGCCTGGAAGAGTGACCGTCAAGCCTAAGGCTCCACACCGTGGCTGGGGGCACCTCTCCCTTGTCCCATCTGTGGTCCTCCTCACCCCAACCAGCCCGTGTGCCTCTGTCCTGCCCTGCCGGGACCCAGTTCCTTGGATCCCACCCCACCCACGCCCTCTGTCCTGCTCTGCAGCTGCTCCTGCCCTTCCACACGAGGGGCTCCACATAGCTCTGGGCTCCCAGTGATTACTCGAGAATGACCTTTCCCCGATGGTCCTACAGTCTCTCTGCATGGACAGGATGGCTAACTGCAGAGAGATGGGTAAGAAGTTCCTACCCACGAGAACAGAAGTAACAGCATGGGTTACAACACCCACCTGGTGACGTGGCCACCATCCACAGTAAGGAGCCCACCCGCGAGACGACACTCTGGAGCCGTGAGCCAGAACTCTGTGGGTCCGCATCCGAGTAGCCTACGGGGAACCAGGACGCTGGCTCAGTCTCTGTCACTCTCGAGCCTCTTCCTTTGCTGTCTTCTGTAAGCCACAAGTCCCCCACCCTCCTTGCATCCCCACAGCCCCACGCAGCCCTGGCATGCAGTCGAATGGAACGGGAGCTCTCTGACATCTGTTTCCTCTGAGAGCTTCCTGCCTGCCTCACTGTCCTCACCGTCCTCACCAGCCACCCTCAAGCTGCCGTCAGAACCAGACGACGGAACCCGACACACATATCACTCAGGATGACCGAGCACCCACCGTGTGTGGAGCCCCACAGGAAAGTGCTGGAATGAGCCTGAATGCAAGGGTGTCAGCCTTAGGTTGCCACAGACCCACAGGGTGGGGAAGACAGATGCCATGGGCAGTCACAGCCCAGTGTGCCAGGGGCCAGCACAGGCCAGGTTGGGGCACACGCAGGGAGGGGCAATGCGCCTGCCACTTGCTGTGCTCCCTCCAGCTCCCCGGGCTCCCCGCCCAGCCTTCCCGAGGCCTCCCAGCAGCCTCGGATCTGCCGGGGAGGGAGGAAGCATCGCCTACCCACGTAGTCATCCTCAGAGGAATAGCCTGAGGAAGAGCCCAGGAAGTCCTCCGTGGCTTTGACCCCCACGAGCCCGCTGGCCCTGCTGCTCTCGGAGCCGCCTGTGCCTCTCCTCTTCCGCACCCGCAAGTGATCGCCTGTGCAGGGAAGAACCAGGGGCTCTTCTGGGCCTCCAAGAGCTTCTGAAAAGTGGGGCCTGGGCAAAGAGGTGCTCTGAGGAGGGAATGCCAGGACGGCAGGGGACACTGCGAGGAGTATCTCAGGGGGAGGCGGAGGAAGCAAAGCCCCACGAGAGAGGACGCTACACTCACCCCAGTCGGGATCACTGTGCAGTTCCTCCAGGGCGCTCCTGGCCAGGAACGCGGCCCGCGGGCTGCCGATGTAAGACTCGCGGACCAGCGACTCACTGTAGTAGGAGGTGTGTGGGTCGGAGGACGGGCCCAGCTGTGGCTCTGGGGATGGACGCTTCATGTTGCTGGATTTCCTCTTCAAGGTCCTGTGGGACAACCGTGATGGCAGAGGCAGGGAGCAGGGAGGTGAGCCCAGCCAGGGGTGTGCAACCAGACAGACCTGGCCTGGCCTCGGAGCCAGCCATGCCTCAGGGCCTGTCCTCTGGGCGCCAGGTCGGTTTGCGAGGGGGGGCAGGAGAACCAGGCAGTTGCTGCCACAGCTCATTTCCCAGTGGCCCAGGGACTGTGCTTGTCCTCAGCCATGTCACTGGCCAGCTGCTGAGGCTGGACGGGTGGTGAGACATGTGAGCGTGGGGCCAGGAAGGGAGGTCAGGCTTACCCGCCCATTCAGACCAGAGGGCGTTCCTGTGAGCCCGGCCTGCAGTTTTGGGGTTTCCGGCCTGGTTTATGCTTGAAGCTGCCTCTCCCCACTTCCTGTTTTCTTTTTTTTTTTTTTTTGAGATGGAGTCTCGCTCTTGTTGCCCAGGCTAGAGTGCAATGGCATGATCTCAGCTCACTGCAACCTCCACCTCCCGAGTTCAAGTGAGTCTCTGGTTTCATCCTCCCAAGTAGCTGGGTCTACAGGCGCTCACCACCACACCTGGCTAACTTTTGTATTTTTAGTAGAGACAGGGTCTTACCATGTTAGCCAGGCTAGTCTTGAACTCCTGACCTCAGGCAATCCCAGCACTTCAGAAGCCCGTCTCAGCCTCCCAAAGTGCTGGGATTACAGGCGTGAGCCACCGCACCTGGCCTACCACTTCTTATTTTCTTTTTTCTTTTTTTTTTTGAGATGGAGTTTCTCTCTTGCTACCCAGGCTGGAGTGCAATGGCATGATCTCGGCTCACCGCAACCTCCGCCTCCTGAGTTCAGGCAATTCTCCTGCCTCAGCCTCCTGAGTAGCTGGGATTACAGGCACACGTCACCATGCCCAGCTAATTTTTTGTATTTTTAGTAGAGACAGGGTTTTACCATGTTGACCAGGATGGTCTCGATCTCTCGACCTCGTGATCCACCCGCCTCGGCCTCCCAAAGTGCTGGGATTACAGGCTTGAGCCATGGCGTCCGGCCCACTTATTTTCTAAGCATGAGGGCAGCAGCCCTGGCTCACAGTTGGGGGAGAAGAAGGGGTGCTGTGAGCTCGTACACATGGAGCTAGGCAGGATCCCCCTGACCGGACGGGGGCCCGTGTCCTTCGATCTCTGCCCACGAAGGTTACAACAAGAAGGCAGGTGGACGGCTGGACCAGAGGGCGTGCAGGCAGTGACCAAAAGTGTGTGGGGTCGCCAGGGGCTGTGGCACTCCCTCGGGGCCCTACCTGAGAGGACTGTCTTTAAACAGGGTGCTCTGGCTCCCGGCCACCGAGCTCCCTCCACTGCTGCTGCTGCCGCCATCATCGTCCCCCTGGGAGTAGCGTGTGAGGCGCTGGCTTCTTCGGGACATGGCTCGGTGGAATGTGGACTCTTCCCCTGAAGAGACTCTAACGAGAGAGAGGAGGAGGGGGACTGTGTGTGAGGCCTGGAGCTGCCCCCAGCTCCTTTGGCGGAGGAGGGACAGAGGCATCGCATCCCAGCCGAGAACAGACCACCCCCTCTGCATTCAGCCTAAACAGTTCTGATGGGGGGCGAGGCAGGGATCTGTGAAGCAGCCCTGCACAGCACCGTGCGTTGGCAGGAGTCATGCCTGGCTTCGGGCTCACTTTGTGACTCTGGAGCCTCTTCCGGGTGCTTTCCATAGGCTTCCCAATTTTCAGTTTCCTTGTCTTTATCCTACTTGGTGCTGAGCTCTACACAAGCCAGAACTGGGTCTTCCTCGACTTCTGACAAGTAGCAGAGACTCTGGCCCATGACAGGCACCCGCACACTTCTGGTCGCCCCTGCACGCCCTGTGGTCCAGCTGTCCCACCTGCCTTTCCCTGGAGATTTCTCCCAGTCTTGCTCTAGCTATGTCCCTTCGCTGACACATGGTCATTGATCAAAGGCCACAGCAAACCTTGAGAGAAAACCTTCCCCATGTAGACCTCACCGATGTTCTTTTGTTTTGAGATAAAAGTCTCACTCTGTCACCCAGGCTGGAGCGCAGTGGCACGATCTCAGCTCACTGCAATCTCTGCTTCCCAGGTTCAAGCGATTCTCCTGCCTCAGCCTCCCAAGGAACCGGGATGACAGGTGTGCACCACCATGACTGGCTAATTTTTGTATTTTTAGTAGAGACAGGGTTTTGCCCTATTGGCCAGGCTGGTCTCAAACTCCTGATCTCAGGTGATCCGCCCACCTCGGCCTCGCAAAGTGCTGGGATTACAGGTGTGAGCCACTGCACCCAGCCAAGGATTTTTCTTTTTTCTTTTAGTAGAGATGGGTCTCACCCTGTTGGCCATGCTCCCACCTATGTCCTGACGGTGCTCACACTCTCTGTCCCCACGGTGCACACCCTGCTGCCACATCTTGGTAAGATGATGATAAAACAGTAAATGTCTGCTGGGACCAGGCTCCTTGTACACCCCATTTCTGATCATCACCAGCAAGGTAGGTATCATTACTCCCATCTACAAGGGAAGAACCCGGACACCAAGGCAATGGGTAACTTGCCCATGGTCCCCAGCCTGTAAGAGACAAAGCCAGGGTTTGGGCTCAGCTCTGACAGGCTATAGGGCGTGGGTCTTTCTACTCAGCCATAGTTTTCCAGTTGTTTCAGGAATGTATTGAAGATTCTAGTTGTGTATCCTCACCTAGAATCTCTTCTAGCCCCACACAGGCTCAAAACCAGGCTGTATACAAACTGGCTACACAACAAATATTTGTTACAAACTAACAAAATAGGGAGGCGGGCAGCATGAATTACAGTCAGTTCGAGTTACCATGTGGGGCAGAAATCAAGGCTCTGGAATTGACAATGACAAAGGAAGCAGAAGTGCAAAGATCTGGCAAAAGGTGGCATTCTGTGACACAAGGAAGGTAAATGCACCTCTCAGGCCTAGACACTCGAATTCAGAATCCCCGACAGCCAGGACGAGGGCTCCCAACCTTAGGGCCTCTGCTGGCCCGGGATGACAAAGTCCCTTGAGGATTCCTAGCACTTGTGACTTTTGATCACTTCTAATATTCCTGGTTGATACTTAAATGACCAGTTGTCTGGGTTGCCTGGCGGTTATAGACGTATGCATCCCAACCCAGGCTTCGGAAACGCGAAAGTCTGGTTAGTCCAGCTAGAAAGTCCTCCTCTGAAAAACAAGCAGCCTCATGTCTGGGCCTTCTTGGCGTCTTCCCAGGTCAAATGCCCATCTGGCTTCCCCCCACCTCCCTGCCACTTTAAGCCGGTGTTTGAAAAGGGACTGATGGGTAGCAGGGAAGCAGGAAGTTGGCCTGGGTCCTTGTTTCTATTCCTGTCCTTATAAGGCAATCCCCCCTCCCCTCCCCGCCCCGCTCTGCCCCACCCGGGTGTTTCCCCCACCTGAAGGCTCCAGCTGCCCACACCGGGGCTCCTCCTCTTAGGCCCTGTTCCGCTGAAAGAGGTGAGGCCTTTGCCTAGGGCAGAAACAAGGCAATTTGTTTATACCATCCCCAGCTGCCGCTGCGAAGAACTGAAGCTTCTGATGAAGGTTGAGCGGGGAGTGCTGAAAACTGTCAGCACCTGCCTCCACCCTCCCAGAGCTCCCAGAGATGCCTCTTAGTCTTTCCTGCGGCATCCTGGCATCACAAAAACAGTTTACCATTGAGTCTGGGTGTCACAAGATGAAAACGGTGGAGGTTCCATTCTCCAAAACAAGAAGTGAGCCTCTAGGAGCTGAAATCTACTACAGCACATCAGAATAGACGCCACCCCCGCCCCACCTCCCCCCTAGTCAGTTAGAAACCCTCACCTAAAGCATCCTCAGCTGGGCGACATCCTTTTCTGCATTCTGCCCTTCCCCATTAACCTTCAGCGTTAACCAGATCTGGGGCATCTTCCTCATGACATTTCCACTCCCTGGGCACAGCCAGGCCACACGCCCTGGTGGGACCTGCCACACGTCCGGCGCTAACTCCCCTCCCCTCACTCCCCCACAGGCCCAGTCTGCAGAAACTGTCACCAAAGGCGCGCCTTCCTGGCGCTCTCTTAAGTCACACCGCGCCCCACATTGCTTTGTTTTGTTTCGTTGTTTTAGAGCTGAACGAAACCGGCCTTCCTCTGAGCCCCGGAGTTCTGACGGGCAGAGGCTGGGAACTGCCTGTCCCTGGAAACGGCCTGTCTGGTACAAAACCCGTAGGCGCTGGCGGGGCCGGGTTGGGGCAGCCGGCCTTTGCCCTCCTCCTCCCGGGAGGCTGCCCGGGAAGTCCCTCCCGCAGACACCGCCCTCCCGGCTGACCAGTGGCGCGGCCGGCGGGGCGGGGGCCGCGGACCCGGGCGGGGGCTGGAGCCGGCCCAGCGCGGCCCGGGGAGGAAGAAGCAGGCCTGGCGGCGCGGCCCCACCCGGGCGGCCCGACGGGGACCCGGGGTCAGGCCGGGGCGCGGCCCCCGATTCTCGCCCGCGCGCGCCCGCACTCACCTGCTGCCGCGGAGGCTCCTAGCAGGGCCGGGGGCGTCCGAGGCCCGCCCACCGCCGGGGCGCGCCCCCTTTCCGCGTGGGGATCCCGCGGGCGGTGCTCGGCGCAGGGCTAGACGGCGGCCGGACCCAGGACGCGCGGGCACGCGAAGAGCGGCGACGCGGGACGACGCGGGCGGGCAAGCGGACAATGCGGCCGGCGAAGGCCAGCGCTGCGCGAGTGGGGCCGGGCGGCGCGCGTGTGGCCGACTGTGTATATGTGCGCCTGTCCGTCAACGCTGACAGACCGCAGCCCATTGGCCAGGCCCGACCGGCCGTCACCGCCCACCGCTGCCACCCATTGGCCGGTTTAAACACAAAGCCCCGGCTCGCCCCGCCTTCGCGTGGGCCCCGCGGCCCCGCGTGCTCAGCCTCAGAGAACGCGCGTGGGAGGCGCGGGGCGGGGACAGCCCCCGGGCCGCTGGAGGACGCGATGGGAGCCAGCGCTGGGGATCGGGCTCAGCAGGGCACTGGACTCCCGATCTGGGGGCTCAGAACACCTGAGGCCGCTCCGAGCACCCCCACGCGTGCCCGTAGGCCGGCGTCCGAGGGAAGGGTGGGAGCCCCTGGAGCGGCAGCGCGCAGGTGGTCCTTGATGCGCTCTCGGCGAGGCTGAGGGCTTGCTCAACTCCCAACAATAGTGCCCTTGTCCTCTTAGCCAGCCATTTCTACACCCATTTTACAGACAAGGAAACAGGTTGCTAATTTGAAGACTCCAGACATGCTGGGAGGCCCTCTTCCCAAGCTTTATGCAGAGCACCCAAGTTTCACCACAGTACTTCTGTGTTTGTTTCTTTTAAATAGATTTTCTATTTTATTTAAATAGAGATGAGATCTCACTGTGCTTGCCTAGGCTGGTCACGAACTCCTGAGCTCCAGTGATCCCCCACCTCGGCCTCCCAAAGTGCTAGAATTACAGGCGTGAGCCACCGCACCTGGCCAGCTCTTCTGTTTTAAGGATGGTGCTTGCTTGCTGCACTTGGGCTGTGGGAAGGCAGGGCTGGCCACGTGTTCTTCTGCCCTACTCAAACTTGGAGCAAGTGCTCAGCATTTGAGTAAAATGCTGCCTGACTCCAGGGGTCCTGTTCCTTGGCTCCCCACCAGCCAACTGTATGAATAGAGCAGGTGCACTGCCTCGGCTAGATCACTTCCTGCGCCAGCTCTTCTAGGAGAAGATGAACAGTTGCTATTTTACATTCTATGTCCTTGTACTTGAACCAAGATACTGTGCTGGATGTGCTCACAAACATGTCCCAGCTCTCCATTGCTTTTACCTGTTTAGTAACAGTTTTAAGTTGTCAGCCAATCCGGTTTTAGTTTAGATTGTGAGGTCTGGCTCCAGCCAACAGAAATCAGACACAGCAGTAAGGACGACCCAAATGCATAAAGGATAAATTTGTGTGTTTTCCTTTGTTCATTGTATTCTTGTGGCAAAATGGCTAGCAAAAGTACCCTTCTGCAGTCCAGGAAGTAAAAATTGCTTTGCTGAAAAATCCTTTGTCTCAGTGCTAATTTTCTTTGTGGCACCGAACATCTGTTTCCAATACTCTCTAATACCCCACGTGATGGTGGAATGTGCTGGGTGCTGTATGCCTCCCCCATGGACACTGGACACTGTATGCCTTCCCCATGGACACCAGGTCATGGTGGTGCTCAGTGTCCTATGAACACAAGTGTGAAGGAAGAGCCTCCAGTCACCTGCCTGCAACCAAGGCCACCTCCATGTCTCCCTCCCTCCTGTCAGCATCAGCAGCTGGGGTGTCAGCGTCTGTCATTTAACCATCACAGGCAGGCCTTGGTGGGGGTGAGGGACTTTCATGTCAGGCATTCTGGCTGCAGGAACATGCTTGGCAGCTATCAGAGGGCGGTCACCTCAGGGGAGCTTGGAGACCCTCCCTCTACCTCCTGGGGGCTGTTTTTCTGCACCTTAGGGATCTGATGTGGGCTCCCGATTCCACCCCACCCAGTCTGCAGACAAAGCCTCCATATTTACAGAATCTTTCATCCTGAGAGCTCAAAGAGCTCCGTCACCAGGTGACAAGTGCAGTTAAGCTCATTTTATGGAAGACTACTCCAAGGAGTGCAGGCGTGGGATCCAGGTTACAAAGTGGGTCAGCCAGGGTGCCAGGGACACAATGTGGATCCCTGACCGAGGTGGACAGTCCCAGGCATGCAGAGATTTGCCTAGACTCTTGTGGGTGGCTGTGCCTTAGTCATCCTCCCACACCTATTACAGTGCCTGACTCCTATTAAATGCTTAATAAACATTCATGGAGCGACTGCCTGACTGCTGCTTCCCAGTCTTCTATCACTGGCTCCCCCGTGTGGCTGCGGATGCAGACCCTGCCGGCCTCACTTGTACTCCCAGGGCCCTGCCCCAAGGCCTCTTCCACCCCTGAGCCCTTTTACTCAGGCTGTGTGTCCGCCTGGAATGCCTTTCCTCATCTCTCTGCCTGATGAAATTCTAATCTTTTGTCTGGGCACAGTGACTCACGCCTGTAATCCCAGCACTTTGGGAGGCCGAGGTGGGTGGATCACCTGAGGTCAGATGTTCGAGACCAGCCTGGCCAACATGGTGAAACCTGAACTGGCTGAACTGGCTGTGCACTCAGAAGGGAGGTTGGGGCAGCGCTGGTGCTCCTGACAGCACCTATCTGTGGGCCAGAACACGTGGGCTGACATAGCCTGCTTGCCCCATGTCTACGGAGGGTGTTCCTCCTGGACTCAGCCTCTTGACATGTCCATCAGCTGCTCCACCTTCTGTGGGGACATTCTGGGCCAGTAGTCCAGAGAATAGGCTTGGAATGCAGGCACTCCTGGTGAACAGCGTGGGCAAATTTAAGCTTTCATTGCCTTGATGTCTTCGTCTGTAAAACGGGGATGATATCAGTGTGTCACAGGAGCTAACTATCCCTAACTAGCAGTCAATGCTAACTACTGTTTTTTTTATTTATAAGCATTTATTTATTTATTTTTGAGACGGAGTTTTGCTCTTTTTGCCCAGGCTGGAGTGCAATGGCACGATCTCGGCTCACTGCAACCTCTGCCTCTTGGATTCAAGTGATTTTCCTGCCTCAGCCTCCCAAGTAGCTGGGACTACAGGCATATGCCACCACGCCCAGCTATTTTTGAATTTTTAGTGGAGACAGGGTTTCACCATGTTGGTCAGGATAGTCTTGATCGCTTGACCTTGTGATCCGCCCACACTTGTCCTCCCAAAGTGCTGGGATTACAGGTGTGAGCCATCATGCCTGGCCTAAGCATTTATTTATTTAGCAAATGCTCACTGCATGCCTGTTCTCACAATGTAAGACACGCCCCTGCCTTCCTGGGGCCCACTGTGTGGTGGAGAAGGCAGTCATGTGAGACACGTGGCCAGGAGGCTCAGGGCTCAGAGGGACCCAGTATGACTTTCATGGGCCCTTTCCTCCAGTAAAAGTATTAAATATTGTGTTCATCAACTATGTCAGTATCCACAAGCCAGGCTGGGTTATACCCTTTTTTTCCCTTTTGATTAAAAATATAATTAAAACGTTTCCATGGGCCCCTAAAAATTCCTGGCCCTGGCCCTGGGCCTGCTGTGCCTAGTGCAGAGTAGGCCCGGCCCTGAATCTCCTAACCAGACTTGGGGAGTCAGAGAAGCTGCTGGAGAAAGACACCCGAAGGGCAGCACCACCCCGCTGGCCAACCCTTGCTCTGGTCTTTTTTTTTTTTTTTTGAGATGAAGTCTTGCTCTGTCACCTGGCTGGCGTGCAGTGGCTCGATCTTGGCTCACCGCAACCTCTGCCTACTGGCTTCAAATAATTCTCCTGCCTCAGCCTCGCGAGTAGCTGGGACTACAAGCGCATGCCACCACACCCAGCTAATTTTTTGGTATTTTTAGTAGAGACGGGGTTTCACCATGTTGGCCAGGATGGTCTTGATCTCTTGACCTCAAGATCCGCCCGCCTTGGCCTCCCAAAGTGCTGGAATTACAGGCGTGAGCCACCTCGCCTGGCCTTGGTCTGGTTTTTTTTTTTTTTTTTTTGATCCTGCAGAGCAGGGGGAGTGACTGTCCTGTCCCCTCCCCTGCCAGGTGTTTGTGGAGGCAGAGGAGGTGGGAGGACCTTCTAGGTTGCTGGTTTTCACTGCAGTGTTGGTGTGGGTGTGGCCTGTGTGCCTTCCATGCCCGGACACTCAGCACCCAGCTGTCGGTGCCACAGCCTGCACACAGTGTCACTCGGGGTGGTCCGCAGAGCAGCCAGAGGGCTGATAGGCCTTGGGCATGGCTGAGGGCATTTGGGTCTGGGACCCCAGTTCATTCAGGCCTCCTTTGTGCCCACTGCCCCTACCCCAGTGCCTCTGTTTCCCTGGGGACGGTGCTTCCCGACAGCCAGAATGTTCCAGGTGTGGGGAGTCTGGGCGGCTGGCCTTGGTGGCACACGGTGGGGTGTGGAGGCTGCATGTGGGCAGCTGCCCGGCTTGGCCCTGCTGGTCCATCGAGCACCTTGGGCAGCACCTCCCAGCGCCCCGTCCATGGACCTGTGTGTCATATGCACGATGGCCTGTGGCTGCCAGCCTGGGGCCTCCAGGGTCTTGATACCCAGGATGTGGCTCAGTGGTAGGACTTGGTGGCCAGGAGCTGTGAACTGGAGAGGGCCGGCTTCTTGATGCTGAAGGGAGGGATGGGCGGGGGCAGGATCAGCTGAGCCAGGGACCAGGGCTGCCACCCCCTCCGTGTCCAGCAGAGGCTCACCTCCAGGTGGGTGTGAGAA